ACTTATACCAACTGAACTACCAAAAATTACTGATTATTTTATAAACAATATAATATTTAAAAAAAATCTAATAATATATTATGAAAAGATAAATCAAATTTACTGTAAGGTAATATATTTATTTTTTTTTTAGTTATCGCGGTTCAGTAAGCGTTTTAACGCTTCATTAGTACAAATATGCTAACATGTAAATATGTGTGGGATTTCCAAAAACTCTTAGAACCTGATGATTCTGCGGTTGAGTCTGAATGTCAGAAAATACAACAGATATATGAAAATTGTTGATGTCCCTTACTCAGAATTCCGGTTAATCGATATGTGAGTATTTTCCTATTCTGCATTATCTTACATTTACATTTTACATAAGTATCAGATATATTATATATAATTTTTACATCTCAATATCATTATTATTATTTGTTAACTGTTTTTAGGCTCCAAACCATGTGGATGAGCTTTAGACGACAGGGAGTGTCCGAGCACCATAGCCCCCCCCCCCTTGAATCCGTGCATGGAATATGAATGATATGGTATATGTCTAAACTTCAAGTGCATGTATGGCATTTGTTTGATTTCATCAGTTACAGCTTTATCTACACTCATACGCAACTTGATCTCGTCTTTCCAGCTGTTTTTTTCGTCAATAACAACTCATTGTCCAACAAACTTTTGTATGAATTTGGATTTGGCGAGAGTTTTGTTCGTGGAACAAGCAATTTTTGAGTTTCGAATTCGTGACAGCGAGGTTCAAGGCATCAATCAATTTCTACGAGTCACAGCAGCAAATATACATAATATATATCAATGCTGTCGGCAAGTCCAGGATTGTGGTAGTGGCGGTATTCGCGGAACCAGTGGTCATAGTATCAGCAGAGTTGGTGGACGAGTAGGCAGGCTGACGACGATGTCGAAGTTGATGTCACGTTGTTGTTTCAAATCGTTGGTCATCATGTTGATCTTCAAATGCCCAATCAGACGGGTCAAGCACGTCCGCAACTGTTCCAATGATCGTTGTCCAAGGCTATCCAAATAACTGGTATCCACACAAGGCCCTAATGTTCGTTGCCGACTGCGTTCGTCCGTGATAAACGTTCCGCAGACTAAAAACCGGAGCACCGGACCTATATTACAGTAAACTAGAACCGAGCGGGCAGCGGCACCCGCGCCGTTCTGAATGTAGTAATGTACTCAATAGGTTTGTTTTTTTGTAAGTGTACACTTTTTCACAACAATTGTTGAAGTGAAGGGCTGTTCGATTAAAGTAGTAAATAGATTTTTTTTTAATATAGATTTTATATTGATTTTTTTTTCAAATTTTTGATCATGTATATAATTTTTAAATTAAATATAGTATTTTTTTTTAATATTAATTGTTTTATCAAGTATATATCGTGTATATATTTAGTTTGGCTTCGTTTATTGAATTTAGAATATTTTACATTATAATCACGTTTTTTTTTCTATTTAGATATGTTTCAGATTATTTTTTTTATATTCAATCAAGATTTATTTTATTAAATATAGATTTACAAATAGACAAAATATTTTTGATGATCAGTTATATCAATTTGTATAACACCAGCCTGAGGTTTATTTATTAAATTATTATTTTTAACGAAAATGTGATCTATACACGATTTGGCTATATTTGAATACCTAGTTAAGGGGCCTGCTCGCGATTTTTCAAATTTTCCGCAATTCTATAAAATTTGAAAATTAAATTTTATATTTTAGTTGCCACCTCAATTCTAAGACTTTTCCACTAATCTACTACCCAATACCTATTTAGGGGGGGTTGATAGGGTGTATTATATCGGTCAAAACACAGTTTACAGGAAAAACTCTCACACCTCGTAGATTGGTCCGATTTCCGTAATTTTTTTTTTGTTAGATAGAGGAATATTTTTTACAGGGCGCATTGGACTTCGATTTTTGATTACGTCGCTAAAAACAAAAAATAATACAAAAACTAAAAAGTTGTAAAAATTGATTAAATTCAAACTTGTAACATAAGACTTAGAAAAATAATGTTGAAAATCCAAGTCCAATGCGCCCTGTAAGAAGTCTTCCTTTATCTAACAAAAAAAAAATTACGGAAATCGGACCAATCTACGAGGCGTGAGAGTTTTTCCTGTAAGGCATGTTTTTGAGCAAAAAAACAGGTCGCGTGCAGGCCCCTTAAATATTATGTAAATATGGTTTTTCTAATTTTCAATTGTAATATATAATTGTATAACTCGATATTTTTCCATTACGAGAAAAGTCTGTGAATTCTTAATATTATGTTTTTGTTAATAAGTAAACATGACTACAAAAACCTTACGAAAAACTAGTCGGAAACAAAAAACGTGTATCCAGCCAAAAAACCTATTTATGTTAAAATATTAATCGCAGGGGACTTGCCATTTGTCGAAACTGTGTATATTATTATTTATTAATTCTATAAACAATGAATTTTCAAAATATTTACATTCATTTTAAGCTATTTAGGTACACAACACACTTTTATTATTTATACTCACCGTTCTATGGTACATCGGTACTCAATGTTTATAGTTAATTACAGCTAGGTACCTAGTAGTTATAATGTAGTAAATAATAGTTTAATAATAATTATATAATTAATATAGGGCGTTACCGACATATTGTAAAAAAAAACTAGTTAATACATAGTTGCAAAATATGTACTTGTCGCGTGTGTGATAGAGTTGAGCCAAACAACTGTATTACCTATCTCTATGAATGACAAAAGATTAATGTTTCAAAGTCGGAAAATTAGTCTGTTGTTTTGTTGTACCAAGGTAAACGAGTATTCGAGTGTACCTAGTCACTCGAAATTGTAATAGATTTAAATTTAATTATAAATATTTACGTCCCAAAAAATGATCATATCTGAGACGGTATTTCAGCCTATATATTACTAAAGTATATATTTATTATCACATGGTACCTACCTAATTAATATAATTATATTGCTATTATAGTAATTTTTATTATTTTTTCACTATTAGTAATATCCTAATTGTATTAATATTTTTGAAAACTTCAATATTATTATATTTAAATCATAGGTATTATATTATATAATATACTTATTAACTTTTGAGTCAATTCCGAAAAACCGTAGAACGGTGTGAATGGGTTCGTGGTAAAAATACCTTAAAACGTATCTAAATATTCTGAATATGTCATTGTGTATTAATTATCATTGTGTTATTGTGTACCCCTATAAAAGAAAAATAATAATATTTTTGGAATATAAATTTAAAATATTTAATTTTTATAAACATTAAATAATAACACATTGTAAATAATGTTCAGCTTTTATTTTAAATTGCTGTCTTGATTTTTAAATAACTGATACACACAGGCAGGTACAAAAAGTACATATTATTTTTATATTAAACCAAGTTGGTTTAACAAACAATTAGTTTTTACAATTTAGTTCATACAATAGAGTTGTTTATAATTTCATTTATTTTTCAATTAGATTTTTCAGCAATTATCAGATATGGTTATTGATTTTACAACTTACCTATTGTTATAATAATCTTGAATTATTGTTCTTTTATATTATTTACACATTTAAAGCAATATCTTAACGATTATGATATTTTTGATATTAGATTTTTAGTAAAGATGAAATAAAAACAAACTCATATTAGATGTTAAAAATGTAATGATTAATACAATTTAATAAACTCCAAATAATGTTTTTCAGAAGAAAAACTGATAAACAATATACATTTATAATACAATACCTGATTTTTATTCAAATAGATATATATTTACAATAAAAATTTTTAAATAATAATGTGAAGTAAATATAAAACTATTATATGCCTACGCTGCAGCCTGCAGAGATGTCGACACTTGAAATTTTAAAATGGGTAGTTTGTATTCCAAAAAGTAAATTAACGTAATCGCGTATAGGTTATTAAAATACAAACTTAACAATTAGTAGGCGAATTAGTTGGGCGTAGAACACTTCTGCCAAAATGTAATATTATTGATAACATGTTGGAAGAACATTGTTGCCAACATCAAAAAATAATAAATAAAATGATTCAGTTGTACCAACTTGCCTATTATACATTATTAACATTGAATAGATTGAAAAAGAAAATACTAGTATTTATAATTAATGATATTAAACAATAAACATTATATTTATGTCATTATTACATAACATATTAACATAATATTATAATTAATATAATAATTGTGTTTTATATGAATTGGACCACCTGAATTGCCCTGTAAGATAGTAATAATAAATTGCAATTAAAGAAATGTTTATGATGCAAAAACGTAATTAATAAATATTTGTATAGAAATTAAACATTCTTACTACAAAAAGGCCTTTTCAAACTTCTAAAAGGAACCGGAAGTTGAAAGCATACGAAATATAGGAATTAATGGTTTATTATATTAATATGTACATACATATTATGATATTGTAATTAAATATGTCTAATTAAAATTCATGGGTAAATAGATTTTATTCTATTTAGTCATAATATTTTTCGGGTATTTTATTTCAGGTCTTTTTTTTTCTAATATCAACTTGATCGTATACATCCTGATAATAAAGAATTTTGAGGTTAATTCCACTATCACAGATTATGAATTTGGAAGATGTGCCCCATCTCGAATTAGTTAGTTTGATATGCGATAAAATGTAAAAAGTAATCTTACAAGGTTGGCAACACCTTTGTTGTCGTATAAACACAATATCTAACCACCAAACACCAACCAACCACTACCATTCTCCGAATTCCCCTTCACTTCAACAATTGTTGTGAAAAAGTGTACACTTACAAAACAAACAACCTAACCTATTGAGTACATTACTACATTCAGAACGGCGTGGGTGCCGCTCGGTTCTAGTTTACTGTAATATAGGTCCGGTGCCCCGGTTTTTAGTCCGTGGAACGTTTATCACGGACGAACGCAGTCGGCGACGAACATTAGGGCCTTGTGTGGATACACTATGGGTGCTATTTGGATAGCCTTGGACAACGATCATTGGAACAGTTGCGCACATGCGTGACCCGTCTGATTGGACATTTGAAGCACAAGATGACGACCAACGATCTGAAACAACAACGTGACACCAACCTCGAAATCGTCGTCAGCCTGCCTACTCGTCCACCAACTCTGCTGGTACTATGACCACTGGTTCCGCGAATACCGCCACTACCACAATCCTGGACTTGCCGATAGAATATGCCGATATTATGTATATTTGCTGCTGTGACTCGTAGAAATTGATTGATGCCTTGAACCTCGCTGTCACGAATTTGAAACTCAAAAATTGCTTGTTCCACGAACAAAACTCTCGCCAAATCCAAATTCATACAAAAGTAGGTACCTATACTTGTGTGTTGTACTTTTTTTACTTGCTTATAACAGAAATTTTATTTGTGTTGGATACAGTTTGTTGGACAATGAGTTGTTATTGACGAACAAAACAGTTGGAAAGACGAGATCAAGTTGCGTATGAGTGAAGATAAAGCTGTACCTGCTGAAATTATACAAATGCCATACATGCACTTGAAGTTTAGACATATACCATATCATTCATAATCGTTTAGTCATTATTTGCACTCAAAAAATGAAGGCCAACGTTGGTGGTGTCGTACGGTTGACTTACCATATTGCGATATAAGTAAGTCTACCTTAAAAAAAGCTATGTAATTTTGATTCATTTGTTATGAATGGTGATAATTGTGTTACTAATGTTTTTCACAGACAAAAGTTGAAATAATATAGCTATTGATGTGTGGAATCGTAATTAATGTTCAAGTGTATTGCACATTTGTTCAGTAAACCCAGTATATCCTCTGTGACTGTTCGCTGATCGTGGTGTCATGCGGAAGGTTAGTCCAGTCTCAAGAAAATTGCCAGAACAGTATATTGGAAATTCTATACTTGACGTAAGTACTCATAAGTTATAAAAATATATTATAACTCGTATAAATTGAATGCTCGTATGAACTTGTACCTAACTCATATGTCATAAGAACAAAAATTATGTTTTTTTCATTTAGTTAAATTACATTTTTTTTTTTTATTATTGAACAAACATTTTTATATTTACAATCTGTATTTACATGTTATACAATAGTTAAATTTGATGATATTTGATTGACGTAAGGAGGAAGTCAACCAGTGGTGTCGCCCCGTGGAAAGCGATCAACACACACCTATAATAGTTTTCTATATAGTTATTTCTAATGATTAAGAAATGATAATTAAGTACAATAAAATATGATGAACAGAAACAAATGCAAATTTAAAAGTTGTTACTTTGATGTCCACCATATGTGTTATCAATATATTTTCATCATATTATGAATTGTCGACATATTGGTTTTCATCAACTGGTTTTCATTAACATTTTTCTTCAAATACTATAGAAAAAAATAAAATATGTGGTCTTACAGAATCATAACTATGTGAAATTATGAATTAAGAAAAATTAGATTTCAAAACATTATTCAGGAATATTTATTTTTGGAGACAATCCTGGAATATAAATAGCTAATAGGGCATAGGCGATAGGCCTCTTAAACTTATCCTTTCTATTATGTTACAAACTATTCTGCTATTTTCATCTGTATTCTATAATAATTATTAGCAAATGCTATCAAAATATTTATATTATATAGATTATAGTTTATAAGTACACTTAAAATTTTACACAATATTAACTTTATTAAGCTATTAACTTAATATATTTTGACTAATTTAACAAATGTCAACACTTCAAGAACTGCTAGATATTGTTTAAATGTATAGATTATTGTCTCACCATATAAAGGATAGAAATATATAACCTCTTCCCCCACTATGTTTAAAAAATAATATTTATTTTTTTTGTCCTTACAAAAATTTAATCAAATTCACTTAGTTATGAATTATTTTTTATCTGACAATATTCCAGTTCCCTATAAAAAGTTTATCTTTATTTTGTTATAATATTTACTAGTTATACTTGTGCAAATAGTTATCTAAATTCTAATTTATAGTTAGTGCATCACAATTAATTATTTTCCCACTTTATCACTAATAATCTACAATTTTTATTTGCCCAATAAGTGCGGTACTGTATTATATGTATCTTATTATTAATAATTCTAGCTGTCATAATTGATTCCTATACATCTATATAGACATATATATATATATATATATATATACAATTATATTGGTAACTGGTGGTCACATTTCTCATTTAAATGTTAATAATTAATGTATTTTAATTATCCAGTTCTTGGGTCATATGTACATTTTTAAATCTTGATTTGATACTCTGTTGGAAATCTGTGAGAAGCTTAATTACAGTGTCATGCGCCTTAGTGCAGCAGCCAGCAAACGTTGTTTTGGATATATCAGAATTTATAACACAAAATGTATTGTACATATAAAATATAAGGTCCTACAATACTTAGATTAGCGGTTTAAATAGTAAATTAGCTATTTAGATATTAGAAATAATAAAATGTTAAAATTAGATGTACCGTAAGGTTTCAAATTTATAAATTTTAGTTCCACAAGTATTGTGTTCAAATTAGAAAATAACTTTTTTTTATAACAATACTTAATATTTTTTATTTAAAATATCTAGAATTGTCGATCAAAATTTATTTTATATAGCATAGTATGTTTCAGACAATTTTCAAAATGTATTTACTTAACGTTGAATTTTATTTTGTCTTAAACCAAAATATACACATGTCTTAAAATTAAATCATCCAATTGACTGAGTTGAATTTCTTAAATAGTTTACATAAAATAAACTGTTTCAGAATGTCCACCTAACTTATACCAACTGAACTACCAAAAATTACTGATTATTTTATAAACAATATAATATTTAAAAAAAATCTAATAATATATTATGAAAAGATAAATCAAATTTACTGTAAGGTAATATATTTATTTTTTTTTTAGTTATCGCGATTCAGTAAGCGTTTTAACGCTTCATTAGTACAAATATGCTAACATGTAAATATGTGTGGGATTTCCAAAAACTCTTAGAACCTGATGATTCTGCGGTTGAGTCTGAATGTCAGAAAATACAACAGATATATGAAAATTGTTGATGTCCCTTACTCAGAATTCCGGTTAATCGATATGTGAGTATTTTCCTATTCTGCATTATCTTACATTTACATTTTACATAAGTATCAGATATATTATATATAATTTTTACATCTCAATATCATTATTATTATTTGTTAACTGTTTTTAGGCTCCAAACCATGTGGATGAGCTTTAGACGACAGGGAGTGTCCGAGCACCATAGCCCCCCCCCCCCTTCAATCCGTGCATGGAATATGAATGATATGGTATATGTCTAAACTTCAAGTGCATGTATGGCATTTGTTTGATTTCATCAGTTACAGCTTTATCTACACTCATACGCAACTTGATCTCGTCTTTCCAGCTGTTTTTTTCGTCAATAACAACTCATTGTCCAACAAACTTTTGTATGAATTTGGATTTGGCGAGAGTTTTGTTCGTGGAACAAGCAATTTTTGAGTTTCGAATTCGTGACAGCGAGGTTCAAGGCATCAATCAATTTCTACGAGTCACAGCAGCAAATATACATAATATATATCAATGCTGTCGGCAAGTCCAGGATTGTGGTAGTGGCGGTATTCGCGGAACCAGTGGTCATAGTATCAGCAGAGTTGGTGGACGAGTAGGCAGGCTGACGACGATGTCGAAGTTGATGTCACGTTGTTGTTTCAAATCGTTGGTCATCATGTTGATCTTCAAATGCCCAATCAGACGGGTCAAGCACGTCCGCAACTGTTCCAATGATCGTTGTCCAAGGCTATCCAAATAACTGGTATCCACACAAGGCCCTAATGTTCGTCGCCGACTGCGTTCGTCCGTGATAAACGTTCCGCAGACTAAAAACCGGAGCACCGGACCTATATTACAGTAAACTAGAACCGAGCGGGCAGCGGCACCCGCGCCGTTCTGAATGTAGTAATGTACTCAATAGGTTTGTTTTTTTGTAAGTGTACACTTTTTCACAACAATTGTTGAAGTGAAGGGCTGTTCGATTAAAGTAGTAAATAGATTTTTTTTTAATATAGATTTTATATTGATTTTTTTTTCAAATTTTTGATCATGTATATAATTTTTAAATTAAATACAGTATTTTTTTTATAATATTAATTGTTTTATCAAGTATATATCGTGTATATATTTAGTTTGGCTTCGTTTATTGAATTTAGAATATTTTACATTATAATCACGTTTTTTTTTCTATTTAGATATGTTTCAGATTATTTTTTTTATATTCAATCAAGATTTATTTTATTAAATATAGATTTACAAATAGACAAAATATTTTTGATGATCAGTTATATCAATTTGTATAACACCAGCCTGAGGTTTATTTATTAAATTATTATTTTTAACGAAAATGTGATCTATACACGATTTGGCTATATTTGAATACCTAGTTAAATATTATGTAAATATGGTTTTTCTAATTTTCAATTGTAATATATAATTATATAACTCGATATTTTTCCATTACGAGAAAAGTCTGTGAATTCTTAATATTATGTTTTTGTTAATAAGTAAACATGACTACAAAAACCTTACGAAAAACTAGTCGGAAACAAAAAACGTGTATCCAGCCAAAAAACCTATTTATGTTAAAATATTAATCGCAGGGGACTTGCCATTTGTCGAAATTGTGTATATTATTATTTATTAATTCTATAAACAATGAATTTTCAAAATATTTACATTCATTTTAAGCTATTTAGGTACACAACACACTTTTATTATTTATACTCACCGTTCTATGGTACATCGGTACCTAGTCACTCGAAATTGTTATAGATTTAAATTTAATTATAAATATTTACGTCCCAAAAAATGATTCTTATCTGAGACGGTATTTCAGCCTATATATTACTAAAGTATATATTTATTATCACATGGTACCTACCTAATTAATATAATTATATTGCTATTATAGTAATTTTTATTATTTTTTCACTATTAGTAATATCCTAATAATTCTATTAATATTTTTGAAAACTTCAAAAATATTATATTTAAATCATAGATATTATATTATATAATATACTTATTAACTTTTGAGTCAATTCCGAAAAACCGTAGAACGGTGTGAATGGGTTCATGGTAAAAATACCTTAAAACGTATCTACATATTCTGAATATGTCATTGTGTATTGTAAGTATAATAATATAACTAAAAGTTTCAAGTACCCATGAATATGATTTTTAAACCACAACAAAATAACTAAAATCAATATTCTTCCTTTAAATATCTAATTTCGTCAACATTTGAACTTCAAATGCATGAAAAAAAAAATAAAATTAACTGGGTTTGTTTATATTATATGTATAATAGGATTTTTGGTTAGCAGTAAGAACTATTTATGAGGAAAAATGTATTACATTTTTAAGCCTTAGATATAATAATTGAACATTTTAAAATTGTTCAACTACAATCTAAGTAGGTACATATTAGAATAATAATATATTTTCGTGATTTAAACTCTTATAAAGAAAAAAATTATGACTTTGTGGACATTGATTTTAATTGGAAATTGTTTTAGTAGGTACCTTGATTATTGACAATATCGTGTACCTACCTGTATTAAAAATATTTTAATATTCTATATTCCTGTAGTGATTTTAAAATGCTAAAAAGCCATTATTCAAAAAACTGAATAACAAATTCAAGTAAAGCAATATTTTTCTTCTAATTCTCGTGAAGAAAATATTAATTTAAATTTATTACCGCAACAAGAAAAGCAAAGAACAACCACTATTGTATCTGAAAGTGACTTACCAAATATTAAATATTATAATCTATTATTGATCAATATTGTGTCCATAGTTGACTATTTAGTATTAAAATAAAAATATATTATTAGTTAATACTTAGATACCCCTATAAAAGAAAAATAATAATATTTTTGGAATATAAATTTAAAATATTTAATTTTTATAAACATTAAATAATAACACATTGTAAATAATGTTCAGCTTTTATTTTAAATTGCTGTCTTGATTTTTAAATAACTGATACACACAGGCAGGTACAAAAAGTACATATTATTATTATATTAAACCAAGTTGGTTTAACAAACAATTAGTTTTTACAATTTAGTTCATACAATAGAGTTATTTATAATTTCATTTATTTTTCAATTAGATTTTTCAGCAATTATCAGATATGGTTATTGATTTTACAACTTACCTAATGTTATAATAATCTTGAATTATTGTTCTTTTATACTATTTACACATTTAAAGCAAGATCTTAACGATTATGATATTTTTGATATTAGACCAAATGTTTAATATAATATGATGCATATATTATTTCAAACTTAATGTGTTAACTTATATAAAAAAAAAAACATATACCTAAGTAGACAATAAAATAATAAAATTTAAAATGTATAACTGTGTATTAAGTAGGTAGTTAATAGTAAAAAAATACATTTATGATGATACCAGTTTTGAAAATAAAATGTACATTATAGTTGTTAATCTATTGTATGAGTTATTGTAAAACAATTTTATATAATTTTCAACACAGAAGTTCAGTTAAAGTTCTAAATTAAATATTGTTAAATACCTTCTATAATCAAACATTATCCTCACACTATAAAACGTGTTGTTATAACTTTTACATAAAAACAAATTCATCTAAAATCATTTTTTTTTTTTTTTAATTTAATTCAAATTGAAATCGAATATTATATTTATATATCCCATTTAATTATTTAAAACTTAAAGCATGCAAACTTCAAAGTCAGCACCAGAAAACCTTTGATATAGTTGTCGCCTTTCTTTTTGATCACACAACTTGCTTCTAGAACTCCTTCTGTAACAGTTATTCCATTTTCGCCTTCCACAGCAATATTAGATTATTTTCTTTTAAAAACTCTCCTTGAATATAGAATTCCTTAATATGTGATCCATTTTTAGCTGCTTGAGTACTCACGGAAACCATAGAAATTAATTAATTTTCAACATCAACTGAGTAACTCGGCCGACTCTCATGAGAAATTGTAGCAAAATACTGGTTTTGATGAAGGAAGTGGTCGTTTTTTAAAAATAGACAAAATTCGTCCTTTTTATTTTGTATAAGATAAGCGAAAACAGACGTCATCATTACACTAAAGAATAGTTCTTACAAATCGTTTCCATCTCAAAAGATACAATAGGATTTTTAGCTTCTATTTTAAGGTACGAACATGTAAATATTGGAACGCTCTCACAAATTATCGATAGTTAGAAATCATGTCGCAAATTCATTTTTTTCATCATCAGTTAATACGGATACTTCGTCGATTCTTTCTTGCATAATATTCTGAGATTGCTCAGGCGTGGGCTCAGACAAATTAGGTGTTATCTCTGACACTTCTTGTGCAGACATTTTCTTCTTGACGGCTGACGGAAGCTTGTATATTTACCTAGGCACCTACCTAATATTAAATACCTAATACTTAATGAATAAGTGTTCAATTTCGAAACGAATAATATATAATATATATGTAATATAATAATACAACTACATAAATATTATGTTTATTTTAAACATTAAACATAGGTACACCAAACCGAAGTGGCACACGTAAAAAAAATATCAACAGGTATATTGATCGTACGACAGAACTATTATCACAATACTCGCCAAAGTAGGAAAACGTAAACTAAAATTAATTTATAAAATTATAACTTATCAAATGTATTATACGAACAACTACGAATGCACTACTAAAGACTGTCGCAGTGAAGCAAACTGAGTTTAAAGTCATAACATTGTTGTAGGTACTTATCGATTTATGTGATTTAAACAATATATTGTAATAGGGTGTAACGGTCAATAATTAAATTCACAAGTGTTAGTCAATATGGGTCAATATTTAGTCATTACCTATCTTTAAATATGGTCACTGTTTACGCCCTTGTCGCCACATATTATTATAATCCGAAAAAAAATACAATAAAAGGTAGGTACTACTATAATAAATTATTTCCATCGACATGTCCATTAGGTATACCAATAATTAATGAATTAATAATATTGTCTGCGTATTATTCTAATGACTATAATAATATAATAGTTCTGTTTTACTTAATTATATATGTTCAGTGTCGGTATCGTTAGGTATAGGCATTCGATAACATAAGTATTACCATGTTATTGCCTATTTGCCTCCAAATTAATTTTCGAGCATAGGTACCTCTCAGCTAACATATTGATAATTTTTATTCGTCATTTTTGGTGGTTTTGGTATTTTATTTCGGTAAATGTTTGACAGTTGTTACAATTGTTACAATTATAGCAGAATAATAATATTGTCGTCATCACATCCTGAGGTACACCAATCGATGTATATTTGTGTTATCAAATCGTGTTATTCCCATAATTAATATTCTACCTATAACTAAAAATCGTTTCAAGCCACTTGGTAAATTAACATAATATATAGGTAGGTATTAATGATATTTATTCGTAATTTTTCATGATTCAGAATTTCGGTAAACGTTTGATTAGTTATGATTATACGAAAACCCTTGGAATAATCAATTTACTTTTGTTGAAATTATATATGTATAGGTACTTATTACTTACCATTTACCAACTATTGGACACGGGTGACACATATACTTCGTACTTGAATATTTGAATGCTTATAACTGATGTCGATATTTTTGCGAATTACACGTAGTTTATGAATGGTATTAAATAGCAATCCGTAAAACCGGGCTGTTGCGAGCAAAATTATACAATATGACATTTTGATGAAATTCAAAATTCTTGGAAATATATGAATATAATAATTATTACAATTATTATGATCTAAAAAAAATTGCGTTTGATGCTTATACGATATTTTTTAATTCTTTTTCATTATTATTAATATTCAAATTAAGTTTGTGTATATACGCACAGATTTATGTATATATAGATTTTACAAAATACAAATAATCGTACCATAAATAAATAATAAATTGGTCTTATATAGTTATATAATATTATGTTTGCATAAAATTCTGATAAAATATTTAACAAATGTATCCACATACTATATAATTATAATATTACATATTAAATAATAGGTATAGGTATGCCTAAATATTTAGTAATTTATAAAATATCATTAAACGAAAAATATCGCAAAATGTAATTTATAGAATTTCATTGAACAAAAAACTAAAGTAAAAGTTAAAAAGTCTTTAAATATTATATTGGTTCCGTAAAAATTAAAAATTTTTATTTCATGCATACGGACATTAGTATTGATTATACCTATTATATTCTGTATCCGGGCCATTACCTAAACGCAATAGTTATTTTTAAAACATTTAATAGGTATTAACACTATTCTAAATAATGAAAAACGCAAAACTTGTATAACGTTTTAATTCTAAATAACGATCAACCAAAAAATGTTGTAACGTTTTAATTGTTAATAACATAAAAAGGAATTTTTTTCAAATGCAAGCCCTGGTAATAGCGTACGCATCATATAGTTCATATTACACATATAAATATTATAGTAATTTAAAATTTTATTACTTAATTGTTAAATTTAAATATCTTAATAAGAACATTATATTGAAAATGTAAAAGAAAAGTTATTTTATTTAAATATTATTGATTTTTGTTTGCTTTTGTGGTAAAAATATTAAATTTAAAAAAAAAAATAATAATTTTGGTGGTGTTAGTTTTAAATAAAGGTAAACTTCTAATTTTATTAGTTTTTGTTTTTTTTTTTTTAATAAAGACTATGTTTGAGTTATTTTGTTAAAACATTTGATGTAAGATACCTTTGCGTGTTATTGACTAATGTAGGAATTTGTACTTTATTTTATTTTGTTTCGACTAACATTTATATTTATGACTAAAATTATTTATACAAATATTTGTATGCTATGCGGCTCAATATTTGCTATACCCGCTTTAAATAAATAGATGCGTATTAAAATATTTTATATTTCAAATTAAAAGTTTTTCTTGCCATTTATGATCTACCTAATAATAATGACTATGACCTCCACATATATTGTGTTTGATTTTGACCTAACCTAATACAAAATAATATGTGCTATTCATAAATTCATATTTTCTTCAAATATAACCTTTAACGATCGTCAGATATGTTAGACCATATTTAACATTATAACTGCTTTTGAGTAATAGTAATAAATAGAATTTTCTTTTTCATTACCTAATGTTTTATACATTTAAACAAGTACCTACCTAAGTACCGATATTTTTAGGAAAATGTTTGAGGAATGTTCGTATAATGATACTTTTGATTTCAGACCAAATACATATTTCATTTAGTATACTTCATTAATTAAAAAAATGAATAATATTAGTATTAATATATTTAAACGTATAACTGTATAAGAAGTACAACAATTTATGATGATAACACCTTTGAGAATAAAATAGAAAGACAATTATAATTAGATTATGAATATGAAAATAGTAATTTAAGTATACTAATTAATATCGTACAATAATTAACTGCCTAATTATAAAACTTTTAATACGAATTAAATACGATCCTTAATATCTTCAATTTCATAACAACCCTCTTCCAATGTAATAAAACATATCATAGGATCATTATTGTTTTCATTATCAACTACTTGTATAGAAAATGTATTATTATTTTCATTAATATTTGGGAATGAATTAAATGACTGTAAACATAACAAAGCTATTTAATATGAATATATGATGATACCTACAAGCTTTGAGAACAAAAATGTGTAAAGACATGATATTATACTATAACTATTAATTATTAGATTATGCACATATAAATAATAATTTCAGTTTTAATAATTCATATTGTACAATAATAATTAATTAGGTAGGTACCTACCTAATAGTGATCTATTGCATGAGTTAGTTTTAAACAATTTTTATATAATTTTCAACAAAGGAGTTAAATTAAAATTCTGAAATAAGTAGATATTGCGAAATAATATAGTCAAACATTATTCACCCACTATAAACCCTGTTGTTAACATATACATTAAACAAATTGAATAATATAAAAATAGACTCATCGGAAATTGTTTTTTTTTTTATTAATGTTAATGTTTAAATACAGTTAAATAAAATTTACCAGCTTAACACCATGTTGAGTAATCATCAGGGTCCATACCAGACAACTTAAGATCTAATTCGAGTTGTCTTTCTTTTTCGTCCCACAACTTGACTGCTTCTAGAACTGCTTCTATGACAGTTATTTCATTTTCAACTTCCTCGATTATTAGATCATTTTCTTTTAAAAACTTTATTTGATCCTCATACTGCACATGCGATCCATTAATAGCTGCTTGAGTTTTCACGTAAATCTTAGAAATGAATTCATTGTCAACATCATATGAGGAATTCAGATCACTCTTTTGCGAAATTAAAGCAAAAAACTCGTATTGATGAAGTAAGTGGGCTTTTTTTAAAAGTAAACAATATTCATTCTCTTTATTTGGTATAAGATACGCAAAAGCAGACGTCATCATTACTCTAGGATAGTTCTTACAAATCGTCTCCATTCGTCCAAACGGTACAATAGGATTTTTAGCTTCATTTTTAAGGTACAAACATGTTAATATTGGCACGCTCTCATAAACTCTGGATAAAGTCACGGCAGATTTTGATTTTTTAGCTTTTGAGACCAATTTATATTTCATTCTAAGTCTTTGAAGTTCGAGTTTTAATTCTGGTGATGATTTTATAGCCATTTTTTCCAAATTGTTTCCTCTCTCAATACCTAATTTAACCAACATATTCATATCTCTATGCATAACTTTTTTATCACTACTTTGTGCTGCAATATAAGATAGAATAACTTTAGGGTCAAATTCCTGTTCGTAATTTTTTTTTAGTAACCACGATGGTATGTATTTCATGTCTTCTTGGCATATATACCCGGCCGTACCTAAATAATCGAACATTCCAGCAGGCGTCCACTGCTTTGCCATTTCTTTTGCTCTTTCGTTTAATTCATCATTAGTTAGTAAGTTTACCTCATCACTAATTTGTTTCATAGTAATCTTGGATTTGTCAAGTGTGGTCTCCGATAATTTGGGTATAGTCTCCGATACTTCTTTTTCGGCCATGTTTCTCTTAACGGACGACGGAAGTATAAATTATATTAGAATAGGTACTTGGCGAAAAGTTGTTCAATATAAAAACAAGAAATACTTGAGTTAAAATACAACTTCAAAAATATATTTTAAACAGACCACGCAGATACTAGACTCTCAAAAAATATGAATAGGTAAGATACCTAATAATCTTACGACCGAACTATTATAATATTATATGATCCACGCAAACGTAAAAACTTAAAATTGTGTTGTACGAACAACAGCGGCTGCACTACTGAATACTGTCGGGGTGAAGCAAACTGAAGTTAAAAATAATAATATTGATATATTTATCGATTTCTGTGCAAACAAACAATATTGTAGTATTAATAAAAGTGGGTACAAGTGTAGGTACAACGGTGGACCGCTAATGGTTAATTAATTGGTTAATGTTAAGTCGCCATCGTTGAATATGATCACTGTAATACGTCGTTGTCTCCACATTACTCAGATAATGCAGAAAAAAATATACAATAATTATAGTAGTATAATTATTGTCATAAACACGTCCATTAGATATAAGTATACACATAATTAGTGCATATTATTGTAATGATTGTATTGTAATAGTAAGTTATTTTCTACGATCGGCATATATAGCTGTTATACTAGGTATTGTGTTATTATATTATTCAATAACATAATTATTGCCATTTATTATGCTTCCGAATTGGTTTTCGAGCATAACTCTCCGCTAAAATCAAACATATTGATGATAATATATGTATTTTGTATGCCACATTTTCAGGGTTTTGGTTTTTTGATAGGTAAGTAAAATATGTTCCATGAATTGTACTTATATTGTCAAACTCTATACAATCTATACAATCCAAAAATTATTTTTATTAAAATTTTTATTTTTTATTTTTCTCATTTATTTTAAAAGTAAATTAGGACAATTAATTATAATTGAACAAATCTAGTACTAGTTTGACTGTAAATATATGACTTTATCTAAACGGCTATATTATGAGCAACTGCGCAAGTGTAATTTAATGGAATCTCTTTTGACGTAAATATAGTCATTTAGTCATCGATATTCTTAAAAAAAGAAAAGTGTACTTACATATCCTACATGAGTTGTCCTGACAGCAATTTAAAATAATTTAAAATAAATGGGAATGCATTTTTTCACGTATGTCACACCAACCCTCCCATTTTCAAAATATTGAAATTTTATTTTTCTATCTTTTAGTATGCTGTTTGTACGAATTTGTAAGCATTGTTACAGAATTTGTATGACCAAAGTCGAGACGTCACGCCTCCCCCCCCCCACCGACGGGTTTATCGATATCCCTCCCGGAACTAAGAGCGTACGAATGTTTATATTGCGCTTACAAGTATGTTCAAATAGAGAGCAAAGTATTGGTAAAAAAAAATGTTAAATAACCTATGTCGGGGGCTAGCTTGGCGTCTCGCCAGATGGGTTTTTGATATATCTGAGGCACTTTGGTCATACGAAATCTGTAACAATGCTTACAAATTCGTACAAACAGCATACTAAAGGATAGAAATATAAAATTTCAATATTTTAAAAATGGTGTGAGTGTGTGACGTACTTATTTTTTTATAAGTACTGAAGTTTGAATTTTGAATTACAACAAATTTCACAAAATTGATTTTGTTAAAAACTGTGGGAAGGTTTTACTTTTGACTTCATATAATACCTACTAACTAGATTCACTTAATTGAAATATTTATTTAAATAAAAATATTGAAGTTGAAGCATTATTTTTACTACTCCGAAAGTTGACGACAAACACAGTATATTGACGTAACGAAAGTAATAACAGATAAATAGTAATACAATTATGCAAAAATATTAAATGGTATATTTTTTTAACGAAAATTAATAACCTATATTGTCTTACTAATAGAAAAAAATAAATAACTCACACCATTATACATATAAATATAATATGATAAAATATACTTAGAAATAAAGACAAACGGTTTGTCTAAGCTCAGAATTGTTTTTAGTAGACAATTACACTTTAACGTATCCATTACAGTTACCTGTAACCAGTATTCAATGGCAATGAACACTTGATACAAAATATATATTATACAGTAGAATGACTTCCTGGTTTTTTTTTAAATTATTAATATATTTTATTGACTTATGGATAAGTACCTAGTGGGTGTATATATTTTGAAATTTGTGGATTTTAATAAATTCCCATAAACGTTGGTCATCGGTTAACAAATAATTTTAGAGCAGTTTAGTATTGTTTTGCCTAACTCTCTTCGTGGTTGGCACGGCCTTATATTTTAGAGACGACTGAAAAGTACCTCGTTGGAATGGTAAGCGAAGTCCGAAGTCCGACAATTTTCTAATGAACCGGTCGTTTTGTCGAAAAATTTTCGAAATAATATCGCGGTAGACAATGTGGAGGTGAACGACTGTGTTCGTACGAGCTAAGGCGTTTGCTTTGTGCGGTTCGGTGCAATTTTATTGTTAACTTTTTGCGCGTTTCAAGAAATCCTACAACTACAAATGTTCTGCAACACGCGGTAGGTATGGGTATCAGTGGGGTATATAGGGGGAGGCCCCCTAGGCCAGAGCCCATAGTGAAATTGCAGGTTCAATTAAAACATTGCATGTATATTTGCACTGTTTACAGTTTTTCACCATGGTTAAGTTAGCCAGTTGATTAGAATCGTTTTTAAGGAATCAATACGGAAATGTTAGATTGTCCTAGGACTTGCTTTGATAACTTATTGACTTTGATGTTGAATTTATAGTAAGATAACATATATGTCATATATAAATGACACTGTTAACATTTTTTAAAAAGAATCAAAAAATTAATTGTCCATAATAACTATAAAATTAAATTGCTCAATTCTTATTTTTAACCACCCAGCTCCCTAAAAAATGTATAGTTAATAGTTATGGCTATGTTAGTCGTGCTATGCTTGACTACTGATAAATTGGCAAATAGTGAAAATAATTCGTATATACGCCACTGATAGGTAAAATATTAAAATCGTTTGTTCAATATTTCGATTTAGCTCGTTTCTACTATACTCGACCGAGTAATTACCAGGAAAAAATATAATCATGTCCTCGATGAAAATTAAATATCAAGGTGAGAACTAATGGTGCCAAACGAATTACCAACGAAAATTTTTTTTATACCGGTAGTCTGCATTGAGCGTATCACAGTTTAAAAGTTGGTACAGTAAAACCAATATATTTCTATTTAAACAATATGATGTGGATCTATAACAAAACGTTTTTATTAAGAAAAATCACCGACCGCTAAGTAAAGAGTTGAGACACAATTTCGTTTTAAATTGAATAATATTCTATTATTACGTATTATTGATTTATTTTATGCATTTGTAAGACTCCGGGGGTTCTTGTGAACTATAGACTTTGTAGGATAAATAATGAAAACAAATATTATTGTTTATATTGTTTTTGTTGGTATTCGATAATTTTTTGGTATGATAGACCACCAGAGATAATTCCAGACTTTGTCATATTAATACTATTATAAAATCATAATATTATTATATAGTACCTGGTACCTACATTTAACATAAATAATGAACCTTGTCACAAAAACATTATTCTAATTTCTAATCGTTATACTAATAATTATAAACATTATAACATAATAAAGTTTAATTTGTACAGTCGATAATACACTACGTAATCGGCACCTAATGATAAAACTATAATAATATGTAAGGGTACATTTTAATGAATCAAAATTAAATGTTAGCACTAAGTTACTGTCGTCGATGCGAATTAATAAATAAACTATTAAGTAAAAGGTGAATTAAAAACAAGATCATATTAGTTGTTAAAAAAGGTGGGCAAGTGGGTGTCGCTCTGCTGTACAGTAGGTTACAAGTGGGTCACTGTATAATGGATGGTACTAAATTTGAATTCAATGATATAATATCATTGTATAAGAAAAACGATTCTGAGCGGTGATGGTATGTCAGTCTATGTATAAGGCATATTATATACATATCTATGGTATTAAACAAAAAAATGACCTATAATAGGTAGGTACCTATAATAAATTCCAAATTAATCATATCACAATATCCATTAGATACTTATAACGCGTTATACATCAACAAAAACCGTGATACTATCATAGATATATAATAGTACACTTTAGAAGTTTCAAGTACCCACGAATAATATTATTCAATCACAACAAAATAACTAAAATCGTAATTCTTGGTTTAAATATGAAATTTTGTCTAAATTTGAAATTAAAATGTCTGTAAAAAATAAGTGTGTTTATATATTTTTTAGATTTTTTGGTTACAGTATGAATTATTTAAGAGTACCTTTGTTTTAAATTTTCAACTCTTAGTTATAAAAACTGAACATTTTATAATTTTTTAATTCCAACGATTGATAATTTTCGAGATTTTGATAAATTTTGTCAAAATTCCAACTTTAAATGCTTATAAAAAAAAATCGTGCCTATGTATTTTTAATATTTTTCAACTGATATTGTAACAATATATCAGGAGCCTTGTATTAAATTTTTACACTTTTTGGCCCAACAGATAAAACTTTATTGATATTTATAGAAAAAAAAACTAAAAAAAAATTGAAAGCTGTAAATGTCCATAAACAGCTCAAAAAGAGTCAAAATATTTTAAAAATTGTATGATGTATAGAAAATGCTAATTTAAACATTCAGTGAAATGTTCATGTATCTACAGTTGTTCGTTTTTGAATTGCAACAAAATAAGGAAATCGCTACATGAGTAATCGAGTGAAAATCCAATGTTGTAAAAATTTGAATTTCAAACGCTCATAAAAATTTAATTTGACTGTCCGGTAGAGATTTTTTTATTGATAAAGGTAGATAATCTTATAAGGAATGTTGTGTTTCATTTTCAAATCTTAGATTTAAAAAGAAAAATTTTTACGAATTCTTAACTCAAAATAATTTGCTAATTTTCGTGATTTTTCCATATATTGTCAATTT